AGCTGTGCAAGCATCTTTTAAACTTTAGATCTGTAGTGTCTGATTTATGCTGGTTGTATGTGGGCGGAGTAGCACACAAAGGGTAAAGAGGCTGTACGGGCGCTGATATTACTTAAATATATCACGACTATCAGCCAATCAGATTCGAGAACCAGACAGAATTGTTGTGTGTGTATGTGTGTGTGTGTGTGTGTATATATATATATATATATATATATATATATATATATATATATATATATATATATATATAAATATTAAGATGAAAGTAATCCCTAAATGAACAGCAAATTTTCGTTGTTAACATCAACATTTCTTTATTATACAAAAAGCAATTAGAATGCTGAAAATGCCATAATGGGTTTGACATCGACGTGTAAAACCTAAATAAATAAATTACCTCAATCTATATTTGGCCCAAATGGGTTATAAATATTCTTGTGTTGTAATATAAAGAAGCATTTCCATAAAAAGTGATGCAGAATTTTGGTAAATATTTCATGCACATTCTTTGGCACAAGCGCCATTAGTGTTATTGATGATCACTGACTTTCTTTACAGTCGGGTTATTTGAATTGCTTTTCATAATCAATGACATTTCTAAATAAGTTTAGATTTATTTAGACTTCATCTTTACTAATTTAGATATAAATAAATGTTAACAAAACTTGTTTTATATGAGATATCAACACTTTATCAAAGAACAGCTCAATCATTGCACCAAAACAACACAATTATTTTGGTGACATTTAGAATAATGGACTATTAGTTAACATGTTTATTAACATTATGTACGAATAATATTGTAAAGCATTTATTAATCATGGTTCAACATTAACTAATGCATTATTACAATCCAAAGTTGTGCTTGTTACATTAGTTAATGCACAGTGAGGTAACTAATAATGTTAACAATAATAAATAATTGAATAAATACCGTAATAAATGTATTTCTGATTGTTTGTTCATGTTAGTAAATACAGTAGCCTAATTATGAACCATCCCTGCTGGAAAATCCAGCTTAAACCAGCCTAGGCTGGTTGGCTGGTTTTAGCTGGTTGACCAGCCTGGTTTTAGAGGGGTTTTGGCCATTTCCAGGCTGGTTTCCAACCATTTCCAGCCTGGTCTTAGCTGGTCAGGCTGAAAAATGACCAGCTAAATCCAGCTTGACCAGCTTGGTTTAAGCTGTACATAGCTGGTTTTAGCTGGGCTCCCAGCCCTGCTAGGCTGGTCAAGCTGGTTTTAGCTGGTCATCTCCCACCCTGACCAGATTATTTCTAAAAAAATAGAAAAAGAAATAAGAAATCCCACTATAATCGTCTAATTGTAATGTTTTGATCAACCAATATTGAAATAGCAAGTCTATTTGTGTTTAATAAAGCCCACAAGAATAGGGACACGTAAATACTGTAACAGGCTCATAAAACTCAAATTCCCAGAATGCAGCATTCAGAAGAATGAGTTCAGAGTAAGGAAGTGGCCTTTTACATATATTTTTATTTATTTATGCGGCATTAGACGGGTAGTTGTCTCTCTTTCGTCATTGTTTTGATAGCGTGTGTGTAACTGAAGCGTTCCGTTTATCTGCACAACTGTACATCGATTATAAATCTGTCGCAGCCGGTCAGTCACGATGATGACAGTGACTGTGACCATCTGAAACTAATGAATGAACTGAAAACATCTGACCTGTTATAGCAGAAACTGGCCGATTTACTGCAGCCACCGTCAGTGTGTGGATGCTGGACGTACTTGAACATCGATTAAAGGTACATTGTTTAATGTGACGATATTTAGGTTACAGTGCTCGTTAGCGAAACAACGCTTTGAATGCATGTGCTGCTAGAGGACAAATCACATACAATACAGTAAAAAACTACACACTCCCCATCGACATGGATTACATAAACACTGCCAGATCTGTCGAAGATCGTCTTCTGAGCTATAGAAAAGACGAGTCAGGGTGGAAAACATGCAAGAAAACTGTAAGTATTACAAATAAGTGTGTCTTTTTCTCATCTTTTGCATTTGTTTGTCGATAAACAAAGATTCTGGGCTTTTTTTCTAGAATGATGTTGTGGTGTATTGGAGACCCTCTTGTGAATTCGCGGGAAATGTGTAAGTATACATTTGTTTAATGACTCGGATCACCGTGACGTCATATGTGCCGACTTCTCGTCGTCTTAGTGTATACTGTAGAGTGGACTCTAGTTAGTGTAAATCCGGTTACATATTAGCCTATCATGCACTCTTTTACATGGTGAGACTGAGGTCTTATTATAATATGAAAAAACAAATCAGTGTCATGAGAATTTTAATTATTTTGGCTTCATTGATTAATCCAGTATACATTGGTTTAGGTTTGCTGAACTCTGAATTGTGTAATTGGTGTAAAATTACAATCTCCAGATTAGTCTGCAGTTACATGTATGACCTGTTTTTTATAACCGCTTGAATTTGTAGACAAAAGATAAACTTTTGAATTATAATGACCTAAAGATGTGTACTTGAAGACAAACGTATACACTCACCGGCCACTTTATTAGGTACACCTGTCCAACTGCTTGTTAATGCAATTTCTATTCAGCCAATCACATGGCAGCAGCTCAATCCATTTGGTCATGAAGACATGGTCAAGACGATCTGCTGCAGTTCAAACCGAGCATCAGAATGGGGAGGAAAAGTGATTTAAGTGACTTTGAACGTGGCATGGTTGTTGGTGCCAGACGGGCTGGTCTGAGTATTTCAGAAACTACTGATCTACTGAGATTTTCACGTACAACCATCTCTAGAGTTTACATAGAATGGTCCGAAAAAGAGAAAATATCCAGTGAGCGGCAGTTCTGTGGGTGCAAATACCTTGTTGATGCCAGAGCTCAGAGGAGAATGGCGCGACTTGTTCGAGTCAACCTTGAGGCGGATGGGCTACAGCAGCACAAAACCCCACCACGTGCCACTCCTGTCAGCTAAGAACAGGAAACTGAGGCTACAGTTTGCACAGGCTCACTAAAATCTTACAACTGAAGATCAGAAACCGTTGCCTGGCCTGATGAGTCTCTATTTCTGCTGCTTCATTCTAATGGTGGGGTCAGAATTTGGCGTCAACAGCATGAAAGCATGAAACCATCCTGCCTTGTATCAACATTTCAGGCTGGTGGTGGTGATGTAATGGTGTGGCGGATATTTGCCGGCAGCTATCTCTTTGCAACTCTCACATGGTTGCCCACTGAAGCTAAGCAGAGCTGTGCCCGGTCAGTACCTAGATGGGAGACCACATAGGAAAGCCAGGTTGCTGCCGGAAGTGGTGTTAGTGAGGCCAGCAGGGGGCGCCCAACCTGTGGTCTGTGTGGGTCCTAACACCCCAGAATAGTGATGGGTACTCTATACTACTGATCAGCGAATGCCATCTTTCTGATATAACGTTAAACCGAGGTCTCGATTCCCTGTGGTCGTTAAAAATCCAGGATGTCCTTCGAAAAAAAGTGTAGGGGTTTAACCCTGGCATCCTGGCCAAAAATCTGCCCACTGGCCTCTGTCCATTATGGCCTCCTAATAATCCCCCGTCGCTTTATCCAGGTGGATGCTGCACACTGGTGGTGGATGAGGAGACCCCCCCCCCCCAATTGTGTAAAGCCCAGAAAAGCGCTATATAAATGAAAGGAATTATTATTATTATATTTTCTTGGCACACTTTGGGCCCATTAGTATCAATTGAGCATTGTGTAAACACCACAGCCCACCTGAGTATTGTTGCTGACCCATGTCCATCCCTTTATGACCGCAGTGTACCCATCTTCTGATGGCTACCTACAGCAGGATAACACACCATGTCATTAAGCGCAAATCATTTCAGACTGGTTTTTTTAACATGACAATGAGTTTACTGTACTCAAATGGCCTCCACAGTCACCAGAACTCAATCCAATAGAGCACCTTTGGGATGTGGTGGAACGGGAGATTCGCACCATGGATGTGCAGCCGACAAATCTGTGTGATGCTATCATGTCAATATGAACCAAAATCTCTGAGGAATATTTCCAGTATCTTGTTGAATCTATGTCACAGGACTTAGGCAGTTCTTGGGGCAAAAGGTCCAACCTGGTAGTAGAAAGGTGTACCTAATAAAGTGACCGGTGAGTGTATACACACATGTATGTATATATCACATGTATGTATCATCATACATGCATACTATCACTCATTTTATATGAATTAAAAACGTTTTGCTCTAGTATTTAAACCCCCCAAAAAATGTTTTTAGTTGTCCATTTTTTTCACAAATAAAGTAACTAAGTAGTTATTTATTAAAGTAGTTATTAAAGTAATTATTCATTTGCACTTTTAAACAAAATCGTGAATGGTCCTTACAGATTTCCTTGAAAACTTTTCTATGAATGTGAATATTGATTTTTATTTATTTTTACAAATAAATTAACGAGGAGGATGGGGGGATACGTCCACCTCACTTTTAGAGACAGACCATTCAGAAACAGTTGATTAGTAATTAAATGAATGTAAACCTTTGGATCTCATACAGCTTTAAAATGTCTGCTATGCCCCTGGACTACTTGAAGTTCACTAGCCCATCTAGAGGCTGTGTACACTAGGCAGCTGAAGAGAATCACGTATTAAATTTTAAGTGACATTGCTCATCCCCTACACTCAGAGTTTCAGCTCCTTCCTTCTGGTCGCAGGTTTCTAGTATTAAGCTGTAGAACGAAACGATACAAAAATAGTTTCATACCAGCAGCCATTAGACATTTAAATAAGGCTTAGACTAAAGCAGAGATGTTTCAGTGACTTGTATATTTTAAATCATTTTAAACATTTACTTGGCTTGGACCAATGACTGTAAAAAATATGGACGACGCAACAGCCCTTTTTCCCATTGAACGCCTTGAGGGCAAAACGCCTGCTTGACGGGCGCAAACTGTCGCAAAAGACTGCTGAAATTGGAGCCAGACATGCGCAGAAGGATTGTCTGATGGAGCCAGAGGAGGAGCCGCGAAAATGAGCAGAGTCGAGCTTCCAATCAAACGCTTTATGTAAAATCAACCACGCCCCCCGAACTTCTCAGCACGCGTTTGCTGTCATATCAACACAAATGGATGTAATAACGTTAACAAATATGAGGGTTTTATATATTCAATCGCGCCAGCTCCAGGCCGCAGCGCATAACTTACTCGCGGCGTCGCGGGCTGATTCCGGCTCGCATGCGGCAGCGCCTGCTGGCTCGGCCGCCGCATCTGGCTCGATTGACTCGGGCTGGAATTGGGTAGTGAGTCCAGGCATCCGGAGTAGGTCCAGCAGAGGTAACATTAGTCAGTCTGAGCTCTAAGAGATAAGTCTCCGGCAGGCGAGAATCTAGCCGGAACTGTGTTTTGCTATCTGGGTGGTTAGGCGTGTATCAGCAAACTAATAAAGCCCGAAAAAAGCCCTGAACTTAGCGAATAAACAGTGTTCCACCAGGATCATGTATGTCAGAAACTATAGTTTACTGCTGAACTCATTTTGTCATGGTAAAATAACACAGAAATCGAATAATAACATTTCAGTCTACTTCAGTCTCCTGCCGAAGCTCAGACGCCGCGCTTTGAGAAACTGTCAATCACAGCTGTCAATCACGATGACACGCCCAGCATTAAATTACTGCTTAAAACAAACTGTTTACAAAAATGAAGATCTGCTCCTATTTCAGCACAATAACCAGTGCCTTAATCGACCAGAACTATCTTTCGGGACATTTTATTGCAAGTGTAATATTTTTTTTTATTTGGGCTCAAGTCTCCTTCATTAACACGGAGGAGGCGGGCTTTATGACTTGTACTGCAGCCAGCCCCCAGGGGGCGATCTAACGGCCGAAACCTTCACTCAAACGTAGGCTTGCGGCACACTTGGCTTGGACACTTAAAGTGATTATTTATTTATTCTTTATGTTTACATTTTATGTCTTAATGTGCATTTGTTGTTGTTGCTATGTGAGTTTCTTTGTGTGGCACTGTTGTGAGATGAGGACTCTTGACTGCAAACCAAATCTACTTTCGGGTATAAATAATGTAACCTATCTACCTGCTGTTCTCAGTTTAATATTAAAATTTGTTTTATTCTACAATTGGTCACACTTTACCATAAGGTTAATTAGTCAATGTTAATGAATGCATTTACTAACATCAACAAACAATGAACAATACATTTACTACAGTATTTGTTCGTGTTAGTAAACGTTAGTTAATGAAAATACAGTTGTTCATTGTTAACTCGCAGTGCATTAACTAATGTTAACAAGCATGGACTTGGATGTTAATAATGCATTAGTAAATGTTTAATTATGATTAATAAATGCTGTACAAGTGTTGTTCATGATAAGTTCATGTTAGTAAATGCATTAACTAATGAACCTTAATGTAAAGTGTTACCCTACAATTTGTATGGTCCCACTTTAAATTAAGTGACTTAACTAATATGTACTTACACAGGAGTTAATAGTTTGTACTTATTGTGTAAATACATGCATTTACTGTGTACTTATGCTTGATTAAATACATGTATGTAATTACATTTGTAATTAACTTTTGTCATTACATTTGTAAATACACTGTTGATCATCCCTTACACCTCATCCCACCCTTAAACCTACCCATATCACCAAACCTGTCCATAACCCAACCTCTATCCCAACTCAAAAGCACCACAAGTGTTCTCAAATACATTATAAACACAGTAAGTACATTGTATTTATTTTTCTGATGTTAGTACATAGTAGGTATGAACACTTAATATAAAGTGGGACCATATTTATTAATACTTAAAGGTTATTCCAGAAGAATATTAATTTTCTAACTGTTCTGAAGTTAAAACCTTAAAAAATTCTAGTACGAATATGAACATGGCTTATTTTATTTTCCTTTTTTAACCATTTGTCAAATACTTTTTGGTTTATTCAGAATATGTATCCGCAGTAGTAAAATCTTATATATATATATATATATATATATATATATATATATATATATATATATATATATATATATATATATATATATATATATATATATATATATATATATATATATATATATATATATATATATATATATATATATATATATATATATATATATATATATATATATATGTATATATGTGTGTGTGTGTGTGTGTGTGTGTGTGTGTATATATATATATATATATATATATATATATATATATATATATATATATATATATATATATATATACACACACACACACACACATACACACACAACAATTCTGTCTGGTTCTCGAATCTGATTGGCTGATAGTCGTGATATATTTAAGTAATATCAGCACCCGTACAGCCTCTTTACCCTTTGTGTGCTACTCCGCCCACATACAACCAGCAAAAATCAGACACTACAGATCTAAAGTTTAAAAGATGCTTGCTCAGCTGTTTAACTATCAGCTTATGATTTGGATCCGGAAGAAAGTAGTTCCTCGTACAAAAAGGGTTTTTGAGACTCTCC